ATTCGTACTGTTCTCAACGGATAGAGAATGGTGTCCGTCCAATTTCTGAGCGAAGGACGAAGAAGCCGTGAGATTGCTCCATTTAGATGAATCGGGTACGATTCGCGTACGGAGAGGATAAGGGAGAGGAAAGGGACGCCGGACTCACGCGCGATTTGGACTGGATCGCAATTTTTGTTGCTGCTCGCGTCTGGGGAAGAAAACACGCTGGTGGGGTACTGTTTTTGTTGTTGGACGTTGTTTGGAGTTGTTGAATGTAGTGGGTATAGTATTGTTGGTCTTGTGAACAAATGAAAGTGGGTTGGGGGAGAAGTGGGCCTGGGCTGATGAATTGGAATGGAAAATGGGCAGTGATGGTCTTGAAATTAACAGAAAACAAAAATGGTTCAAGAGGAGTAAGTCAAATCCTTTACAACTTAATCACATATATTACGATTGGTCAAAATTGACCTAGAAATATGACCAAGTTTGAATTAAATGGTGAATTCGGCAAAATTTAAAATAAGAAGAATCAATATAATTAACTAATTAACGAGCTTCTTAATCCTAATGAAATAACATAATTAATTTAATTATAAACTAACTAATTCAAATAACTCAAAATTATAACCATAATTTATACTAAACAAAATCAATAAAATATTCAATTTTAAAAAATGCAAAATATTTCAAGATGATTTCCAAATACTAATAATGTACGTTGATTATATAAGTAATTATGTAAAAATCCTTTATTATCTAAAATATTATAAACCCGACTAAATTGCTTTAAAAATCTTGAAAAATATTTAAGTTTTATAAATTAATTATTCCAAATCATTAGAAATCTAAGAAGCTCGAGAATTAATTCCAATCGGGGAGGGTCAAAATTGGGTGTCAACAGGTAGTAGTAGGTATACTGGGGAATTAGTTGAGGTGCTCGCAAGCTAGCCTGGACACCACGGTTATAAGAAAAAAGCATCAACTCCCAATATAAAACGGACAGGCTGCTGAATCTTTTTTGACCTCTTAGCTTCAGATACTTAATGTTCCTAGTAAAGGTGTAAAAATTGCACCTTTTGTTCCCCAAGAAGATGTCTATTTTATTTGTGTACTTCACATTAGCTGGACATCTACATCTTGGCTATGGATCATAAGGAAGGGGAGACAGTGAAAGGCTTTATCATATTCTTTTGTTGCTTCCTTCTGTGATAGCTTGTTTCTAAAATCTGAGTAGTGGTGGCAATTTCAGCTCAAAATTGTTTTGACCCCCCCAAACCATTGATGTTAAACCACCCATTTGGAATATGGGCTAACATGTGTCCACCCAGTTTTCAAACCGTGATTCTTTTTGCATTAATTTTTATGTATTTCACTTACCCCTCACTTCCTAATTCCAGTTTAGTTGCATGCGACAGGCTTGACGAGTCTTATATTGATATATTTTTTTTAAAATGTGGCATCTTTGTCAGTTTATGATTTATATCCATTATTTACTAATAGATCTCTTAACTTCTCTTTGGTTCTTGCAGCCTTTTCAAGGCCACCCAACATCAAGCGCAACAGTAACAATACCACACAAACCTGCAATTCATCCTAGGGTTCGGGCACGAAGAGGACAGGCTACTGATCCACATAGTATTGCTGAGCGGGTAATATGACTAATATATTTAGATGTTTGTCAGGAGAACATTAAGCTATGTTAATTCTCAAAAAAATTAAATCAATTTTGTTGTAAAATGTGGGGATTTGTGGATAATGCTCTAGAAACAAGTGTCTGAATAATGTGTCCATCTCTTTACAGTTAAGGAGAGAAAGGATATCAGAACGAATAAAGGCTTTGCAAGAACTTGTCCCCAACTGTAATAAGGTGTGCTCTATTCTCTTGTTGCCACAAATTCCATTGATGAGCATTCGTTTTCTTGTTGCTACAGATATCAATTCAGGCTCATTCAATCTTAAAGATATATATTCCAAATAATGGATATATTAACTTTTGTCCTGACCCATCGTTTGTCATGATATTAAAATAACATTACCTAAAATTGGGAAAAATAGTATTCTTTTGTTATAACAAGTTTGACTGTTGCTTAATGTATTCAAGTTACTAAATATGAAAATTGGTTGCAATTTTCAAACAAGCTATACTTCATTGTAATTGATACTTTCTAAGAATTGGCTCACTTCAGTTTTATTTTTAAAGATACAAGTTGGTATTATTCAGTAATAGATGCAATTCAAAAGATGTCGTAGCTTGTGGTATTGATATTTTTTTTCTATCTTGCCAGACCGATAGGGCAGCAATGGTTGATGAGATTCTGGACTATGTGAAGTTCTTAAGGCTTCAAGTTAAGGTAATTTGTCGATCATTATCAGGAAAAAAGTTTTTGTTTTTAAAAAAGTAAGGTAATTTGACAGTCAACTAATTTTCAAGCCAACTGCTAGCTTAGCTGATGACTCTATCGTCTAGCCATTATATTCCATGACAAGCATCACTAAAGTTCTTGCAATTTTGAGTTATCAACAACGGCACTGGTTCTTCTTGTTTTTATTCTGCCATATGATTTCATTCTCATTTTGGATAATGGAACCGGTCTTTTGAAATGGGGAACATATTAAGCCACCGCCTCCACGAAAAAATAAGCTAGTCTAAGCCATTCTGAGAAGTTCACAATCTGTTTGTGAATTTTCATGGTGGTATTTAATAATTCTTTGTTTGAGTATATCTTTGCCAACCTCAACTAGCTTCATTCTGTGAATTGAGATAAAGTGGACGCATTGAAGGTTATTGACTTAACATCACCTTAACCGTACACTGCGAAGGACTACGCACTGTGTTTCCATTAATTTATTTGCTTCCTTGCAAGTTTGATGCACCTTGTAGTTTGCTAATGAGCAATAATACTCTTAGGGGTCGTTTGGTACCGGGGATGGGATAGACAAAGTTATCCCTTGGATTGGGATATCCCATGGGATTAGTTATCCCACCATTTATATGGGATAACTAATCCTATCATTTTATTTCAAATGGAATTAATACCTCTAACCAAATGCAGTAATCCTGTATTTTATCCCAAGATTATTATCCCTTATCCCCGTACCAAACGTCCCCTGAGTGATTTCAATTTTTGCTTGATAATTCAAACTGCAGGTTATCCTTGCATTAACCATTCTAAGAGTGTTTCAATTTTCACAATATAAAAAAAAGAAAGAATCTCATTCAACGCTGGTTCAACTTGTTTCTTTCCATCAATTGAAATTCTTCTTCCTCTTTTCCCTCCCATTAAATACATAACCTCGCCGAGGATGGATGGTGGCTCTTAAAGTCTTGTCTAGTCGAAACATTATGTAATGAATTTACTGGCTGAAATCTTTAATTGAATATCAATGATCATCATGGTAGTCATGTTCAAAGCTCTTAATCTTTTACCGTTGTACTTTGTTTTGGTCATCATTGCAATCTTTTAAGGGAGTTCTGGCTGTAGTAAAGGTTGGACAAATTAAATACATGAATAAACCACCCCTTATTAGTTCTCTTAATTATGTTGATCGAATAAATGATTTATCTTAAATATGCCTAAAGGTACTGAGCATGAGTAGGCTGGGAGGAACTAGCGCGGTAGCACAACTTGTTGCTGATATTCCATTGCAGTCTGTTGAGGTAATGAACACAATCACTCTTTTCTGCTTCTAACTAACTGAACATCTTCGAAAATACCTCTATAGTTTCTGATTACTCAACTGTAAGATTGCTAAATTTTCTCCAAGACTTCATTGTTTCGTCATTATTTTAGGGAGACAGCTGTGAAAGTCGATCCAACCAGCACGTCTGGGAGAAGTGGTCCGATTCTGAAACAGAGCAAGAGGTAGCAAAGCTCATGGGGGAAGATGTTGGAACAGCCATGCAGTACCTTCAATCCAAATCACTCTGCATCATGCCTGTGTCACTTGCTGCACTTATCTATCCTACTCAGCAAACTGACGACCAATCAATGGTCAAGCCAGAACCAACGGCCCCATCGTAGACTTCTAAGTTATTGCAGGTGCAATCAAGAACTCCTAATTTCTTTTAGTCCCATCCGTCTATATATCCTTACCTATTTTCTCTTGAATCACCCCTCTGAAATCCTTGGTAATGCAATTCAACTCAGATGACACAATTTTTGCTTTTAGCTCAACCATTGGCCCCTTTATCAACTTTCTTGAGTTTAGTCACACCTTGAACAAAGGCAACACTTAAGAAAGCAACCAATCCATTTGTATCATTGTAGGGAAGAGTGTATTTTTTTTTCAAACTCTCTGTTATTAGCTGCTTGTTTCCCCTTTTTTCTTGTGGGTTGGTTGTGACTCCTTGTATCTTTTTTATAGTGGATAGCTAGCGATGTATTATAAAAGAAAATTGTCCCAGCTTGCATTCGGTGGACTGTGTGGGGAGAAAGAAACCAAGTTTGTTTGAAGACAAAGTCATTAGTATACAGAAACTAAAGATGAAATGTTTAGGGCTTTTCTTTTTTTGGTGTAAACATAGCTTAATGGAGGATTTAGAATATGATGTACTAGATTCCTTATGAGAAGATTAAGGATTAGGAGCTTCTTCTTCTTTTTTCTTTTTGTTTTTTTGCTCATCTGGATGTAAATATGACGGACTACACACCCTTCGTGTAGTTTGTTATTAATACACAAAAATGTTACCTGTTCAAAAATAATAATTATAAAAGTGATCAGCTGGCACTTTGTAAAGTGTAGTGTAATTAAAAATGGAGATTGGAGAACAAAACATACTTTTCATATCAAGAATTGAAAAGCAAAAATACAATGTGTTTTTGTACAATTGGTTTCACAGCCAAAAAAAAAAGTACAGTTACTTTGTATGTTTGAAGGGGAGATTATCCCAGTCTCAAAAATATATGCAGGATTTCTAAACCACCATGGTTTATCCCCTGCTATATATATGATGTTACAACAAGAACAAAAACGAAAAAGTAACTGCAATTACTAAGTCTTTTTTCTGTTTGATTACAGTGTTTCAAAATAAATAAATAAATCTATTTCAGGATTCTTCTAAACAGAGAAATCTTCATAAAAGCCTCAAAAATGCGTGTGGTATATTTATATATATCATAGTTCACATGATCCCAAGCCTCTTGCTTCTGATCCTTTCATTATCCTCAGCCTCTTGCATGATGACATGAACATTCTGCAATATCCATGAAAATAATCTCATTAAAATCCATGCCTAGACATGTAACTTATATAAATTTAAGTTATATACATTGACAGTGTAAAGATTTTTTACACGATCTATGTATTTTAACTTATTATAACATGTTAATTATTTACCATATTTATCAGATTACCAATTATATATATCACTCTAAAAGTTAACCAAGTGTTTAACTACTTACTCCTGACTAATGCAGCTTAGCCTATTTTCTTTCTTTTTTTTCTAAAATACATTTTTAATAATCTTATCTTCCAAAAATTTGCTTATGATTGTGTAACAATTCTTTTAACAAGTGGAGTGGTGGTGGGTGGTGGTCAAGGTTCAAGAACTTACTCTCGACCAATGCAGTTTAACCTATATTAGCAAATTAATTGTTATTTTTATCAGATTTATCAATCATATGTATTTGTTTACAGCTACCTTATAAATGATCTGATTGTGCAACTATTTTTAATGGTAATAGTTCGGGGTGGGGTGAGTGAAGGTTCAAGAACTTACTCCCAAGGAACATCTCCAACAAGCATCAAATCACCTTCTTTATCTTCATAAGCAGGTGCAAATTCTGACCCTTTATAGCCTTCCCTCTCTGAATATTCACCTATGTTGAGCTTGAACATTTTCTCCATTGCTTTAAGGAGTTCAGTGTAACACTTGTACATTTTAAGATCAATTTTTCTAAGAAAAGGGGCTCCATCCATGCTAACTTTGACATAGATTCCACACTGATCTTGATGAGCTTCTGTTTTCTTTGTAGTAATTTGTAAGGTGTTCTTCCAGTAAGATCTCACTGGTGGCCACCCCACTATTTGTGCCCTGCAATTTAGTAGGCGGAGCCAGAAGTTTGAGTTAATGAGTTCTAAATTCTAATAAATAGAAAAACAGCTTATTCGATTCTGGATACGCTGTTTATATATATTAAGTGGATCTCTTAAGAAAAATACAGGATTTTGACCAAAGGTAGTAGTTCTGCTTCCTCTCTTGCTTTGCCCCTACTCATTCAAGACTTGAAAAAAAGTAACCCCTCTTTTTTCATTTTATGTGTGGCATCGTTTCTTTTTAGTTGATTTACAAGAATAATAGTTTTCTAAATTTGGAAATAAATTTAATAGAACTTTCCAATTTACCATAGCCTATCTTGCTCAGATCCTCCAAAAGTATCGCCACAGCCATGTCAGATCTTTCAAAAATAGTGCATTTTGGATGGTCAATACACGTGCAGTGGCGAATTTCATAGTTACTTCTTGTTTGTGGTAGCAATTTAACTTAAAATTTCCATTCCACCCTTAGTTAAAATTATTCATTTCTCGCTTAACCGAGTTAAACTATGTCAGATAGATTGGAACAGATGGAGTATGAAACTTACTTGGCAACAGGGGGTGTTGTGGCTTCATAATCTGAACTTGATTCATCTTCATATTCAGACAAAGACCTTTTGTTATTCTTGGAATTGGGCACAATTTGTTGGTGATCAACTTCTTCCTCTGTCCCTGGCAAACCCAATCTAAGTTCTGTTGCTTTAAGATTCAAAATTTTCTCCATCCTGGTGATAAAAACTTCTGCACAACTATACCTTAAACTATAAACTCAAAATTCTAGGTCTTTCTTGGTTTTCTTCTTCAAGATTGATGTGAAGAGATTGTTTTTGACCTTGTATTTGTGTTCAAGAAAATATGAGTTAGCTAATAGTTTGTGGGTTGTTGTTATATAAGGGAAAAGGGGGAAGAGTTTGGAGAATCATTAAAGAAATGTTCCAAAAGTACATAAATTTGGGACAAAGACAAGCTAAGGCTGTTGGCTGGAAGAGTAGCAACTTTGAACATGTAGGGGACAAGAGAGGGACAAGCTCACCCACATATATGGACTAAAACTCTACAAGACTTTTTTTTTTCTTTTTCATTTAGACACTTCAACTGGACCTGTTTCCTGTTAGACATTTAACATATATCTAAGATACAACTCTTACCTATCGGATCAATTTCACGTGCTTTAGACAGGTGAGATATATGTTCTTTGTCCATGTCGGTTTATATATTGTGTTTAATTGGCATACATTGATTGACTGAACTCGAAGTGTCTGGTATATAATGGTCAGTTGAAGCGTTGGAATGAAAAGTCATACAACTTAAAGGGATTGTTAATATATTTGTTACCACTTTTCGTTTAGACACTTCAACTTATCCTGCTACCTATTAGACATCTAACGTATGTCTAAGATATGCCTTTTATATATCGGATCAATTCACACGTCTAAATAAGACATGGTGGCCTATTCTGTTTAATAGGCATGCACTGACTGAAGTTGTTGTGTGTAATAAATTTAGGTCAATTGTTATGTCAAAATGAGAAGTGGTGAAACAATAAGGGACCAACTATGTAGTTGGCGAAAAGGAAACAATAGAGTATATGGTAGGATGGTTGAAATTTTCATTCTTAATTAGAAGTCTCGAGTTTGAGCACTTTGAAATATAGAATTTCAAGGTATGAAATGCTACGGTACGTATTGAAATGCTACGGTACGTACCTATATTAATTATTAGTAGAAGAAATGATTTGTGAATACTGAATGAAAAAGTTAAGAGAGAAATGAAAGAAGGGAATCAGATGCTACATTTCATGAGTACAGATTGTACTTTCTTTTTTTTCTTCATATTTGTTACTATTGTTTTAGCATCCCGATTAATTCAGATTTACACCTGCGTAAAGCACATTAAAAAGAGGAACACTATTATTGTAGAACAACTCTGAACAATCAAATCACAGATCAATTTGTCTATGTAGTTGAAAGAATGTATACAACCAACAATGACAAGACAATTCTTGGATTTTGTTAATTAGAAGCTTCATGGCAACATATTGTTTTCAAGGAAAACAAAATCAGTTTTGCTGTATTTAGGCTGTGTTTTCATTGCCTTTCATTCTCTCCTCATTATTAATTACCCCAACAAACCTGCCTGTCTTTGACATCTAACCAATGCATTCAATTTTAAGAGGGTGGAAATTAGATCACTTCCATCCATAGGCGGATCTAGAATTTAAGTTCGATAAGTTCCACCTCTAAAATAGATGAATTTAAAACCTAACATAATAAGTGGATTCAGAATGAGTTTGATCTATATATGTGTGTGTGTATTGTTCGATCTCAATAGTCCAATAAAATATACTTCCACTATTTCAATTTATGTGACACTTTTTGAATTTCGAGATTCAAACAAGTCTATCTTTGACTGTAAATTTTTCATACATCTTTTTAATATTTTGAGTTGTTGATTATTGTGACTTATAGTACTTTTTACGTAGTTTATAAATATATAAATTTCATTTCAAAAAAATTAAAGATTTCATGGGTAAATTGTTGGTCAAACTTAAACTGTTTGACTCTCGAAAAACGAAAAGTACCACATAAATTGGGACAAAGGGAGTACAAAAATTTGTCTCTATAAAAAATAAGTTTTGAAGAGTGAGGCATAACCTATGTCGAACAACTCAAACTACCTACACCTCAAATTTTATGTACATTTAATGAATTTCTTAATGTATATAATATATATATATATATGAACTCGTAATCGACCTTCGAGATCCGTTCATGGACAACAATAACAACAACAATATATCCAATATAATTCGACAAGTGGAGTCTGATAAAGGTGAAGTGTGCAATCTTACCTCTACTTTATGAAGGTATAAGTTATTTTTGATAAACCCTCGGATGTTTCTGCCATGGACTTGAGGAGAAAAAAATGGTAGGCCGAAGAACTGATGAACGCAACTCACTCTTCCCCACACGTATTTCGATGCACACGAGAGGGTATTGAAATTGGACTCTCAGTCTGCTGTTAAGACTACATGTAGGCCCAAACCTCACTTCAATATCTTCTGTTAGCACACCATAAAGGCGTTCACCACCATCCTACCTTTGGTATTCCTACTCATAGGTGGATTCAAAATTTCAATTATTAAATTTAAAAACTTTTACCATCGAATTCGTCATACTAGTTACTATCGATAATTACCATCATTAATCAACATTATATATCGCTAACCGTTATCATCATTCACCAGCCATTAGCTGTTAGCATCATTTCACTGCTAATTATCAGCCGCCACCACCAAGAACCACCGTTGATCACTACTGCCAACCACTATATCATAAGATACTACTCACAACCACCATCATTAGTCAATACCATCTTAAATCGACACACACAATCACTATTGTTAGTAATCACCGTCACTAATCGCCATGTAAATTTTTGCCACTGCCACCACCAAAGACCACAATTGATCATTGTCAATCACTATACCATAAGATACTACTCACAACCATCATTGTTAGTCAATACACAATCACTATGGTTAGTCATCACCATCACCAATTGCCATATAATTTTTTAATTTTCTTTAATTGATATGATATTAGATCAATTTAGTATTTTATTTGAACATTATACAAAGATAAAATTTTATATATTCAAATGTTGAGAAAACAAGCAATCTTAACTATTTAGTACTCAAATTTTAATGCAATATCTTAATAATCAGATGTGTATTCAAATTCAGACATCTAAATCTCAATGCATATCTTAATATTACCTTGTGCGTTCAGACTTCAACGTCTTAACTTCAATAAAAACAAATAATATTAGTTTAGTTTGATAATTAATCAAATTATAAGAAAGAAATAAAGAAATTAAAATTGGTAAGTGTTGAGCAGAGTTATTTAGCATGTTTTGGGGCCTAGTATCTCGACTTATGTAACCATTAGAGAGTTTAATATAACTTGACCAAATATTAACTCAATTCTTTTTAATTCATTCAAATTCAATTAAACTCGCATAATTTGATTCAAAATCATTTGCTTGATAAAAATTTCAATAACCGTTTACTTAGTGAAAATAGTACAAAACAATATTGTATCTAGGTGAAAAACTAGATGTCATACCATTAAGGGATCTTGAAATAAATATAGATAGGAATTACCTCACTAACTAACTTACATACCCTATGCACGATAGCTATTGTTGATGAGGAGATCATAGACTCTTTATAGAATGGAATGTGATTACTTGAATCTTGGAGTTTTGATGCTATCATCGACTTGCATTGCTCAATCATTTTGAATCATGTTCAAGGCAACACTTTGATTGATAATGTGTTGGGTGTAGTTAGGACCATGTTCAAGCAGATTTCTCTGGAAGCTAGTCCACACAAAGTTCTCATCAACGAATGAAATTTGCGAGTCATTTATTTATTTTAAGGTGAAACTCTCTTGATCGAATTTCACAAATACACACTACAAGTCTACAATACAATGATGTTTCTTTTGATATTTATTTTTACAATTTTTCTAAAGGATACTTACTAGATGTTATTTTTCAAGAAGTTCTATTAGTCTAAAGAAATCAGAAGGTTAACACATTTTTTTTGTTTCAAACATATCAAACATAAACCAATTAATAAAAAATATCAATATAACAAGAATTCGAACAAAGTAAATATTTTCTTGATAACTACTTAATTTACGAACAAAAGCCTCAAGATTTATGATATACATATATGATCATTCACTCTTAATCAAGATATTTCAAATTCACATTTTGTGTATGAAAAGAATTTCTAATGTACGAATATCAGATATCGAGTGAAACCCCTCCCCGAACCCCACCAAGAAGCCACCTAAGATCTACACTCAAGCATTTGTCACATGACTTTATCACGTGATCACACAATTTCACTATCAAAGAATCGAATCTACCCCATTAAATTTTCATCCTCCAATCGGCGGCCCACCGCTTTCTTACTCCGTTGGCCGGCCGATCGCCGGAATCTTTCTGAAACTTAGCCCCTACGCTAAAATCAAATCCAATATTTTCCCCAAAAAAACTCAAAACCCTTTACTTTTTTTTCATGATTATGTAAATTAATAATCCAATTTTTTGCCTTCAGATTTCACTAATCCGTATACCTAATACTAAAATTTTCCATGGATTTCGTGGAACTGGAGGCAATTGAAGGTCTCCGGTGGTCATGGAATTCATGGCCAGTATCAAAATCCGAAGCTTCAGGTCTGATAATCCCACTATCTATTATGTGTACACCATTGATGCATTTTAACGAGCTCCCTGTACTTCCTTATGATCCTCTTATATGCACCCAATGCGGCGCCGTTTTAAACCCATATGCTCGTGTTGATTACCAATCGAGAATTTGGGTTTGCCCGTTTTGTTACCGGAAAAACCCGTTTCCAAAATCGTATCTTGGAATCAACGAAAACAATATACCTGCTGAGCTTTTCCCGACGTACAGTACTGTTGAGTATCATTTGGGGAAAAGGGGTTTAGCTCAAAATCCGAATTCGAGCTCTAATTTTGGAAATATGTCACTGTCATCGAAAATGCCTTCGTTTTCGAGTACTCCCTCGAGCTTGGATTGGGCGGGATATGGGATTGGCCCAGCGTTTGTGTTTGTTGTGGATGCTTGTACGTCGGATGAGGAGCTTGGGGTGGTGAAAAATGAGCTTCTTCATGTGATTGCTCAATTGCCTGAAACTGCATTAGTTGGGTTGGTGGTATTTGATTCAATGGTTAGAGTTTACGATCTTGGTTTTGGAGAGTGCTGTAGAGTTGTGATGTTCCACGGTGAGCGTGAGCTTTCTTCTGAGCAGGTAAAATGTGAAATATTATCTAAGCCTTTGTCAATGTGCTTGTCTAGTTCAGTTTACTAATGCATTCAATTAACAAAGAGCTGTTTTTCTTTCTGAAATATATTATACCCTAGTTATATCAAGGATAATGCAATTTAAACAGTGGTAGCTTTCCAAATGTTTGATGCATCAGGGAAACAACTAGAGAAGTTTGGGTTCAATGCAGGAATGCATGCTTTACTTGTTTTTGAGCTGTGGATCTCTGATTGAATCTTGATACATTTCTTTCCGTAAGAAATGTGAGATGAATTAGCCTTTGTCGTTTGGGAATTAGTAAAAGGGGATAAAAAAGGAGGAACTTTAGAGTCGGGTGGGGGGCGAGCACTATACTTTTGAGGAGAACAAGAAAGCTCCACGTTGAATTTTTAGTCTATTTCTTCTGATCCCCAAAGAAGAGTCGAAGGAAGTTTGAGGGACATTATTTTGAAGTTCTCAGTTCTGCATATGAATATAGGATCACTTTTATCAGACAAAACCTTATAGTTAATGTTTAAAGACTAAATCAGTCAGCTGGCCTGTTTGCTCCACTTTGTATAGTGCACTTGTTCAGCACATCGTAAAAGTTCTAGCCAAATAGTTGTATTTAATTTGAAGGGAAGCAAGTGTGTGTTATGATGTGACGCACAAGAGGTTAGCTTAAGAGGAAGTGTTTTAGTGTCTTGAGGGCAGACGAGGCAATGCTTTCTGTAGTGTAGATTGAGATGGATTGGTCTTTGCTGTTATGGCTTCTCCTTCTACAACGTTTCATTGGTGTGATTTATATTAGGGATCTCATTGAATGAGTCCTATCTATGCCTTTATTCTAGTCTGAAGCTCCAAGCTAACTAATGAACACGTGCTTGGCATCATTTTAAAAAAATTGGGACATTAAAGTGTTGTAGAGCCTCTATAACTATTTCAAATTTGGCAACATACCCTATAAAACATCTTCCATGACATGTAGCCACCTAAACATTTAAACGGTAGCAACTGATCCCTTCCGTGAGTTTTTAACTAAGATCAACTTCAACTCAGAGAATTGTTGGAAATGCCAGCTTCTATTATTCTCTTCTTGTCAATGCTCACCGTTTAGGAGTAGTCAGCCACTTCATTAGTTTTTCCTTCTTTTTCTTACTAGACTTTGCGTACTCTCTCCTTCAGTTCCTTCTCTAACCCGAGTTCTAATCTGCTTTTGTGTTTCTTTCTCGTGAATTTCCACTTTTCCCCACTTTTTTCTTGTTTCTTCCATCCCACTTCAATAAGTATATGCTCATCTTTCTCTTCCCCTCTCCCCCTTGTTCTTTTCTCCATATCTCTTCTCGCCATATTTTTTTGACATCCGACGCAACATCCCCACCTTCGCACACTAGTGAAATCTTGTTTCTCAAGCAAACCAACCAACCAACAACAAGCACCAGGAAATCGCACAGGGGGAGTCTCAGGAGGGTAGGGTAGGGTGTACGTAGACTTTACCTCTACCTCCATACCTCATGGACGTAGAGAGGTTGTTTTCTAAAGACTCTCGGCTCAAGTATCACATATCAGAGCATTAAGGCAAAGAACATATAGAAGTAAAGAGGCGTAATAAATAATAGAGAAAGAATTTTATTACATTCAATGAAAATGAACAGTATCAGTAGTGAAATAGTGCAATAATTGAATCACAAGAAATAAGAGGTAGTAACAGTGAGCGTAGGACAAGGAACTACAAAATTACCACTAAGCCTACCCCGTAGGAAAGCGAGACCACTCCACTACTTACCCTCTACCCTAATCTGCGATCTGCACAACTTTCTATCTAAGGTCAAGTCCTCGGTAAGCTAAAGATGAGTCAGTCATGTCTAATCACTTCTTCCTATACTTCTTCGGCCTGACTCTACCTCTTCTTAAACCCACCATTGCCACCTCTCGGACCTCCTTACTTGGGCCTTTGCATATCTCCCCTTCACATTCCCGAACCATCTTGGTCTTACTTTCCCATCTTATCCACCACAGAGGCCACTCCCACCTTGTCCTGGATATATTCATTCCTAGTCTTATCTCTCCTAGTATGCCCGCATAACCGCCTCAACATCCTCATTTCCGCCACTCTTATCTTGTGAAAAAGGATGTGATGGACACTATTAGAAACTTTCACAAGAGAGTATTTTGAAAAGAGTTTCAATGCAACTTATGTTGCCCTGATTCCCAAGAAAAAAGTTTTAGAGATTTCAGACCTATAAGTTTGATTGATAAAATTATCTCTAAGTTTCTCATTGAAAGGCTCAAGAGAGTGATTATAAACTGGTGATAGACATCAAATGACTTTTATTAGAGGTACACAGATCATAGATGCGACATTGATAGCCAATGAGTGTGTGGACTCTAGAATCAAATACCACACTCTTGGTATTCTCTGCAAACATGACATTGAGAAGGCTTACAATCATGTTAACTGGAATTTTCTCCTAAAAGTTCTAAAAGACATGGGTTTTGGTATGAAGTTGATCACCTTCTGTATTAAGATTGTCAAATTTTCTATTCTGGTAAATGGATCTCTTGAAGGGTTCTCTTTTGAGAGAGGATTGAGACAAGGTGATCCTCTCTCCACTTTCCTCTTTCTATAGCTATGGAAGGACTGAATCGGATGTTTAAAATTACAAAAGACATAGGAGCCCCGATGGGTTTCAAGGTTACAGACCGGGAGAACAGTGGTATAGAGATCACCCATTTACTTTACGCAGATGATTCATTGGTACTCTGCGATGCTGATATTGATCAGGTCAAACATCTGAGAACTATTCTGGTGATTTTTGAGGCAGTTTCTGGACTTCATGTTAACTGGCATTAGAGCAGTTTATCCTGGTTAATAAAGTGGACAATATTCAAGAACTTGCAGGTGTTCTGGGATGTGTGGTGGGTTCCCTACCTACTACCTATTGGGGGCTAACTTTGGGTGCTAAAAGTAAAGCCTTGTAGATCAGGGGTGGTGTCATAGAGAGGTGTGAAAAGAGGCTTGCAATATGGAAGGGACAATACTTATCTCTGGGTGTTAGGGTCATACTAGCCGATAGTGTTTTGGATGTCCTTCCTACTTATGTCATGTCTCTTTTCCTTTTCCTAGCAAGGTAAGGAAAATAATTGACAAGATCAGGAGGAATTTCATATGGGAAGGCAACAACGGAAAAAGGGCATTCCACTTGGTTAATTGGGATGTTCTTATCAAATCCAAAAAAGTTGGGAGGCCTTGGCATCAAGAACCTAAATGCTCACATCCAAAGTTTACTAATGAAGTGGATATGGAGGTATAATCTTGAAACATATGCTTTATGGAGAAATGTCATTCATGACAAGTATGGTCAAGATGATGACCAGTGGTGTTCAAAAGTGATTGTGAGACCCTGTAGGAGTCTGGAAAGCAAAAGCAATCAGATCCCTCTGGACTTTGATGGCTGGAAATATTGGTTTAAGAGTGGGCTATGGAAGGAAAATTCTTTTTTGGTGTGATAATTGGCTTGGGCATGGACCTCTAAAGGAACTCTTCCCTGAATTCTTTAGCATTGCGACTACGCCAAACATTAGCCTGGAATAAGCAAAAGGAGTACATAGATGGAATATTACTTTCAGAAGCTACTACATGAATGGGATCTGGAAAGTGTTTTGTTGAATTTTTCAAGACCTTGGAGTCATTCCAAGGGTTCAAAGATACTAAAGATTCACTTTTATGGAAGCCCACCAGTAAAGGAACCTAGCTTATAACATTCTGATTAGGCACAGACAATCAACTAATCAGTGGCCACAGAGATCCATTTGGAAGATGAAGGCTCCTATTAAGGTGGTATGCTTTTCTTGGCTAGTAGTAAGAAATGCTTGCATCACATAGGATAAACTTCAAAGAAGGGGATTCCAATTATAGGCTTTTTGCGTGGAGCTGCCGGGGAAAATAATAGTCACCTATTCATTCACTGCCTGTTACTAGACAATTATGGCAACCATTCTTGAACCTAATAGGAATCAGATGGTCAATGCTAGCAACACGTGTTGATTTACTGAAATGTTGGAATCAGAATGATGGGGCAGTTAGTCAGAAAAATTGGTGGAAACTTATCATTGCTTGCATATGGTGGACCATTTGGAAGGAGAGGAACCATAGAGCTTTTGAAGACAAATACAATTTTTGGAGAAAATCAAGATGAATTGTATATTTTTATTTGACTTTTTTGTGTAAAGAAACTTTCTTTCTTTGGATTGCCTGTGTATCAATCTTCACTTCCACTCCAACTTCATGCGTTACATCACTGAACTTGCACTCTAGGTATTCAGTCTTGGTCCTGCTTAACTTGAACCCTTTTGACTCTAGGATTTGGCTCCAAACATCCTGCCTAGCATTAGCCATACTGCAAGTTTTGTCAGTCAGTACAATGATATTCAGAATTGAAACAACTATAGGGGGATCAAGTTGTTGTGCCACACGATGAAAGTTTGGGGGAAAGGGTAGATATGAGGGTCAGGAGGGGTGTGTCTATTTTATAGAACCAGTTTGGTTTCATGCCAAGGTGACCCAGTCTAGAAGTCCTTCACCTTATGAGAAGACTGCTGGAGCAGTATAGGGAAATCAAGGATTACACGTGTCAAATTAACGATAACGCATAAGTTAGAATGGAGAGAGTAATATCTCAAATTACAATTAGTAAAATTTTACCATTAACATTTGTGAGTTAGGTTGAAACGGCCGGAGGAAGTTGCTCGGATGCTAAGCACCCCTCAAATCCAATTGTAAGATTGTGAGTTTTAGTCATCAAATGTACAAAAAGGATGGAGCTTTTTTGAAATAGCAAAAAGGATGGAGCTTTTGCGGAGGAGTAAAAAACAAAGTTAGGTTAAAATGTTAAAGAAGAGGGATTTAAACTTTCAGTAAGCAAAAATTACTTATATAATATTGATTTATATAATATTACTTATATAAAATTTTCATTCTCAAAAAAAATAAAAATTATATAAAAGGTTGACACAAAATAAACTCACAAAAAAAATGTAATTTTGTTATATTCTTGTGAAATACTAGTATCACTATCCAAACTTTTATAATATGTAATAACATATTAATTATATATTTTGTTAAAGCGGATGTATCTGTGAAATGTGAAAGTTTGTGAAGATCAGAAGTATATGTCTAGAAAGAACATCATATGTAAATAATAAACAACATCAAATTCATGTCTCACATTATAACTTATCGTTATATAGAAACATAGATCACAATAAAATATTTTTTAGATTTATTATATCATAATTTTCACTTAAAGACCCAACCAATTAGACAGTGTGGTTGAAGAAATCATTTTAAGTCCTGTTTCGGTATCTTTTGCTCTAATCTTTGACTGTAACTCGTTAATCTTATCATCTAAATCTCTTTCAAATTTTTTGATCTCTTGTGTCAGCTGCTTCTCTCTTTCTAAATCAGTCCCCTTGAAATTTTTTGATATAGAGCGCTCAAAATCGTCTTCAATAACCTTTCCTTTTTCCTTGTCATCGATTGTCTTCTTTTTTGTTTTGTCCATCTTCTCATGTTTTTTAGGGTGACAATTTTTTTCAATTGTCATCCTACAACTTGAGGAACACTCAGTTGATGATTTCACCTGCAAAAATCGATCAACAACCGATTTAGCATTTGGTAAACCAAATATGAATGGTTCATCTATAATTGAAAAACTAATAATAACTATATTGATTCCACACAAAACAGAAAGATCTGTTGCTTGCTTGCAAAGAGCTTTCTGTTTGTTGGAGGACGTGATCTCTTTGGTAGACTTCTTTTCACTTTTTTCTTGCATCTGGGAGCTCTTTCTTGTCATGACTAATACAATAAGATGTATGATATATAAATTTTGTATTGACAGAGTCTTCCAATCTCATATCAGAGTGAGTACAGACGAGAGAGCAAACCTGTATATTTATAGACCCGTCAGTTTTTAAGTTTTGTGATTTACCAAAACTTTCCTTGTGATTAAACAAAATTATTTTCCACCCTCAACTTCATTAAATTATCAAATTGGCTAGATTTTTTGAGTTTCATAAAGGACTTGCCGATTATCACTCCATTAAAGTTTTGCAAAATTGGCATTTTCCAAGTTTACCCTTACTTAAATTGCCTATTTTATATTACTTAATGAAAAATATAGTATAATTATTACTTTATTTATCCTTCTAATATGGTCCAATATATAAAACAAGGAACTTTAATCTTGAATTATTTTCGATTTTGTACATATTTTATGAATTTTCTCTGTATTTGTATATACTTTCAATTTATTATAAGCATAATAATTGTTTTACATGATTTAGTCAACAAAAAAATTAATAATTATTATACTATGTGATCCAATATAAATGACTAAATGAGTGTCCAATACACTCAGTTGCCAATAAATACAAAGTGGCAAAGATGACAATTACCGATAAAGAAAATAATTTTAAAAAAAACATCTGTGAAATGAAATTAGTGAGAGAGTTGTCCAAACCAGCATAATAATTGTTTTATATGATCGAGTCAACAAAAAAGTTAATTATTATTATATTATGTAATCCAGTATAAATGAGTGTACTAATTACACTCATTTACCAATAAATAAAAAGTGGCAAAGATAGCAGTTACCAATAAAGAAAATAATTCAAAGATAAATAAATAATAATCTGTTAAATGAAATTGGTGGGAGATTGTCCAAACCAGCATAATAATTGTTTTATATGATTGAGTCAACAAAAAAATAATAATTATTATATTATGTGATCCAATATAAATGAGTTTTGATTTCACTATCCTTCTTTAAAAGGATGGGAGGTTACTTACATGTATTTCAAAAATAAATTTTGATTTATTCAAGGGTATAAATGTCATTTACGATTAACCATCTCACGAGTGATCTTTACCAAAAAAAATTTAAAATAAAGGGAGGTCATTGTATTTTTAGAGATAGAGCGGGGTTGAGTATAATATCATAAAATTAGAGTGCATCAACTAAGTAATTAGGAAAAGTTTGCAACTAACTAGCATAGATTACCTTAATCTTCCTCATTTGAATTTATTCTTTATCTTTATTTTTCAAAAAAGAAGAAGAAACAAAACAATATAACATACCACTCGTTTTCAATTAGTGCTTTTTATTTACTTACTATTGTTTTTCTGGATGCTAATTGTTTTTAATAACCATCAAGTGATGTGGTTTGACCATCAACAAATGAGATTCCTTCTCTTTTAATCAAAGGTCTTAGATTCGAATCCTTAAAATTAAGATTTTTTATACGGAGCAGTTAAACCACTTCTCCTTAATAGACCTTACGTGACACAAATTTGAATTAGTCCAGCCAGTTAGTACCATATGATTAAGAAATATATATAATAGGATGAGGAATTTTGAATGAGAATGTTATATGTAACACTTAGTAAGTTCTGGCCATGTTGAACTAGCTAAATGTGTTTGATTCAATCCAAACTAATAATAATCGTGTGTATGAGATTAGGTACCTTTTTCAAAGAAGGAAAAGTGATTTTGTGTTCCAACGCTTCTAACCATTCGTCAATCTGAGCCCCGCACGAAAAGTTATGTGAGTTTTATGAAATTACTGTGCAAAAATTGAAAATTCGCCTAAGTGTCGAAAATGAGGACCTCATGGAGCAAGCTCAGAGCGAGGGGACCTGGACCTTGCGGAGTGTATCTCAAAGCATGGGAGGGACCTTGCTTTGGCCTTCGTGGCGCAAGCCTCTTCTTCTCGCTATGGGTTTTGCGGGGCAAGGTGTCTCAATCCCTGCAATTCTCAAGGACTTATATTGTTCCCATTCTCTCGCTTATCCTCCTCGTCCCTGCTTCCACCCACTTCTCATAAGCAACCTTTTCTGCTTCCACTTTTCTTTGGACTTCTCCATTCCACCACCAATCCCCTTGATGCTCACCAAAGTTGCCCCTCGAGACCACAGCACCTCTCTCGTTGCTTAACTGATGCAACTAGTTGCCTGTCCCACATACTGTTTGCATCCCCTTTACTCCCCTAAGCCCCTCATCGCCATCAACTTCTCCCCATATCCTAGGCTCCGGATGCAGTCAAGCCACCTCATCTGATCCTTGACCTGTTACACAAAACCCTCCTCCTCTTCCTCATAATCTTCAAATCCATCACCAAGAGCTTATGTCGGGTTGTAAGATTCTCACTCTGAATAACCCTTCCGAAGTAGTAAGTAATCTATCTCGGTCTTACCCAACGAACTACAGAAGGTCACCAAGTGTTCCTCCTTCGAGAAACTTGAGTTAGCTACCATCAACTAAAAAGCTTTTGCAAAATCCAAAACCGAGGCTCCACCTTTGTTTCTATCCAAAAGCAGATACCTTTAGCACATCGTTATATCCTCTTTAAGTTGTTCTTTGTGCGTGTGGGGGTGGGGTGAATGGGGTGGTGGTGGTGGTGATTCCTCCTCCTTTATTCAACTACTGGCTGCAACATTATATTTTGTTCCATAGCTTAACTTTGATAAAGTATTTGCACAAAGAAAAGGGCCAGTAGAAGCAATTCGTAACGAGAGTAGAGGCAGTAGAAGGAGTTGAAGAAATAAAGTAAAGAGAAAGCAGAAAAGAGTGAAGAAAAGAAGCATGGTAAAAAAGAACGAAAAGGGAGCAATGTATTTGATGGGCTAGACTGATGCTTAGCAATGATGGTGCACAAATGAGGAAAAAGAAAACAAAAGGGGTAAAGAGTATTGCTACTGAACCTTTAGACTCCTATTTAGCTAGTGGGGCATTGGTCATAGCCGAAATTCGTCGAAGGGATAAAACCAAAATAAAGAAGAGAAAGAAAGGGAAGTTTTTTCTTTCAAAAAACTAATACAACAGATCAGTTGCTTCTCTTTTGTCAGTTCAAAGGTTGGACTACAAATGTTTGTTTAAGGGGTTAGTTTAAGAGATGTACTTTTCTCTCTTGGTTGACGGCTAGTGGTGATTTTGAACTCGAAACCTTGAGGAAGAGGTGGATAACATATGCTACTTATTGATTCATGTGAGAACAATTGGGAGACGACATAGATTATGTCTATGGTGTAGCTTTTAGGATGGTTCGCAATACGATGGACCATGTTGGGTGCTGTGAAGCATGAGTTGTTTAGTTGGGTCCTTAGAAGATGAAAAGACACTGACCCTGGGATGTTGCACCATTAAAACTTATGTGGGTATAAGGAACAGAAAGAAATAGGAGAGCCTTTGAAGGGAAGAGCTTGATTTTGTGCATCTGATGAATAGCCTCCTGCGTATAATGTCCTTTTGGTGCACTCATGTGGTCTCTATCTGTATAGAAGATTGGGCGTCTTTCGTAAAGAATCATATCTATCTGTAAATTCTCTACGTTTTTTTGTATACCTCTTGTATATGACTTTCCCATTATCAATACAATTATACTTTATTAAAAAAGGGGTTAGTTCAAGGCTTAGATGCCAAACCAAAAAATAAATAATAGTTGAAGTGTATGTTGCCCAAATTGAGAATAGTTTGAAGGGCTTCAGAATGCTTTAGAGTTTCTGGATGACCAATTTACTAATCAATATTCTGAACCATAAGGAAAATGAAATAGTAATAAAAAGTCGCTTCAAGCTGGTTTAACCATTCAATTTAAAGTAAGCTACCTTGCGTAACCTGTTCTGTGGTCTTGATTACCCCTTTCCAATCCCCCACGGCCCACCAACACAAAAATATGCATCAACAGCAACATCTAGAAACTCATTATTTTTTTGAGAAACTCATTATGGATTATGCTTTAATTTGTTCATTTTGCTATTTTTTCTTTAATCACAGACCAAGCAACTCCTGGGTATTCATCGTATGAAGTACCAAGCAGGAATGGTACATATGGCTCCAAAACAGGGATTCCTGATACCACTATCAGAAGGGGAGTTCAGCATCACATCAGCAATTGAAGATATCCATTCTTCACCGCAGGTTATGCCAGGGCATAGACCTTTACGGGCTACAGGAGTAGCAGTATCAGTTGCTGTTGGACTACTAGAAGGATGCTTGGTCTCTGCAGGTTCACGTATCATGGTCTTCACCTCAGGGCCAGCAACAATCGGCCCAGGGATGATTGTAAACTCTGATTTTGGCAATACCATTAGGAATCAGCGAGACATTGGTAATGGTTATGCACCATACTACAAGAAGTCCAGTGAATTCTACAAGCATATATCTAGAAGATTGTCTGATTCGTCCATTGCTCTTGATCTCTTTGCTTGTTCATTGGATCAAGTTGGAGCAGCTGAGCTTAGAGCTCCAGTTGAAAGTTCAGGGGGGTTCATGATGTTAACAGAGTCATTTGACTCGGACCAGTTCAGAAAGTGTTTGCGTCATATATTTAGCCATGATGAGGTTGGTAATTTGAAAATGTGTCTTGATGCAACTATTGAGATAGTAACGACAAAGGATGTTAAAATTTGTGGGGCTCTTGGTTCATGTGTTTCTCTTCAGAAGAAGAATGGTTCAGTCAGTGACAAAGAAATTGGCGAGGGAGGTACCTATATGTGGAAATTGGGGGCACTTACTGATAAAATGTGTGTTGCCTTCTTTTTCGAAGTAGGGGATGAACAGAAAGCCCAACCTAGTTCTGCATTTTTCATACAGTTCATAACAAACTATAGATATGGAAGCATGGGAATTCGGAAGAGGGTGATCACTGCTGCAAGAAGGTGGGTCGGGAACCACTCTCCGGAAATTGCTGCTGGTTTTGATCAGGAAGCAGCTGCTTCAGTGATGGCTAGGCTTGCCATTCATAGAGCAGAGAGCAATTTTTCTCTAGATGTTGTCCGGTGGCTAGATAAACGTTTGATACGTTTTGCTTCAAAGTTTGGAGACTATATCCCAGAAGACCCCTCATCATTCCGTCTTGCGACTAATTTATCCCTTTTCCCACAGTTCATTTACTATCTAAGGAGATCCCAGTTTATTGATGTCTTCAACTGCACCCCAGACGAAACTGCTTTTTTCCGTTTGTTGTTGAACCGTGAGGGGGTAGTTCGCTCACTTATTATGGTCCAGCCAACTCTTTTCCAGTATTCATTCGACGGTCCCCCTGTCCCTGTTCTTTTAGATATCTGCTCCGTCTCTCCGGATGTTATCTTGCTCTTTGACTCCTACTTCTATGTGGTTATTCATTATGGCTCTAAGATCGCACAATGGCGTAAACTTGGCTACGACAAGGATCCTAGCCACGACAGTTTCCGCAAACTGTTAGAAGCTCCCGAGATCGATGCAGAGCAACTAGTGTCCGAAAGGATTCCTGTGCCAAAGCTTGTAAAATGTGACCAGCATAGTAGTCAGGCTAGATTTCTTCTTGCCAAGTTGAATCCATCTGTTACACACAACTCAACTTACACACAAGGCTCAGATATTATATTTACTGAAGAACTAAGCCTACAAGTTTTTATTGAGCACTTGCAAGCCTTAGCAGTGCAGGGTTAAATTTTGAGTGTTGTATAAAGTAGTTATATAAAAGTGTTGTACATTAGCAGCAAGGTAAAAATGTCTGTTTGTTAAGTAGATTTTTCTTTTTTTTGGTTGGGTGAAATGAACATTTCCTCATTGCCTTGCATATGGGAAGTTCTAATTTTTCCTTTTTGTTTGTGGAACATTTGGCTTACACGAAAATAGTGTACTACAAGTACAATACAAAATTTTGCAGTTCCACTTTATTTTCAGAAGTACTTGATACTTACGGTTGCCACGATCCTTAAGCATATAGCTAGCGTTCCTTCTAGTCAGGATCAAACTCTTCTTTTGAGTATGATTGGGCCCTATAGTGGTACAACCAGGCGTACTACTTACCACTCCATTTGCCTATAATATATAGTGAAAATGACATTGTATTGTAATTTTAGTAACTCTGCCACCAACTTTTGACTCTGAGAATGAAAGTTGGTGTCAATCTCACACGTTGTCATGGTGAAAAAGCCAAAAAATGAGCTGTTAAGCGCACCTTTATCAATTATGTGTCATCACATAACAAAGTTAATTTGTATCAAAATAATTGAAAAAAACCGATCGAACTAAATCAAATCAATTTGATTATAGTTTTGAAAGTAAAACAGCATATTTCTATATTTATTACTAGCATTTATTTAAATACTGCTTACAAATTTGCAAATTTGTTGATGTAAGAGTTCTATGAGAAGAATAAAGGAATATATTTGTAGTGGAGGAATCATAGTGTAGTGGTTGGTTAATATAAATTACTTATCCTGATATATATAATAGTATAAAAAGGGATAAAGATACAAAAGCACATATAAATTATATTGGAATTGTCAAATTATAAATCTAAGCTTACGTGTGGTTCTATCAACCTTTTAACTTATTTTCTTGTATTTCTTTCACTAATTACTTTGTAAAAAAAAACAAGTTAAGCTATATCATGTGCATAAATATGCTTATACTAGACCAAAAAAGAAGTTCTAATGTCTTATTTTATTTGATTCTTTTAAATTTAAACCGATTAAATCTCATTGTTCTTTAGTCTTAATATCAAGTGATTGAATTTTTCTTTTATTATTTAAAATATATACTTTAATGAAGCATAAATCTTTTGTTATGACTTGAAAATATTCTTTCTATTTAACATACACGAATAACATAGAATATTACTCAAAATCTTGACTCTGTGGTCTATACTCTATTATTTTGATACATGAGAAGAAAGATGATAATATTCGATAATATTTACAAATCCTTATATATGATTGAATAAACATCAATAATAACAAATATTGAAACGTTAATTCTTAGAAGGGAAAAGATAATAACAACTTAAAAATAGTAAACACAACTAAATTAATAATTAACACTAGAAAAAACTGAACAGTAGCTCAATTAGGAGTAAATTTTGAGACAAACTACAAGACGATCAATCAATTCATGTAATTAATTTGAAATGTATTCTATTTTACCTCATCTAACTATTGATTTTGATATGATAATTCAATATTTATTATATAATAGCTACCCTTAAATTGACCATTACAAATAAGTATTCCTCCTTCAAAATTGTGGTCCCAAATGAAAATTAATATTCTTTTCGTTTCAATATTTTTATCTAACAATTTTGATTTACACGAATTTTTTTTAAAAAGGTTACGAAAACCTTTTAAACTTTATAATTTTAATCTAAATATATACAAAATGTATAAAGTATTACTTAAATCTTATAATAATAAATACGCCATATAGAAAATCAACAAAAAATAAATATTTTTAAAACAAAAAATAAAACAAATAAATTAAAACTATCCAAAAGAAGTTGGGGCCAATTTGGCCATCATACAAAAGAATTTTGGAACAAAATAAAGCTTTCTTCCCAGAGTTCCTCTTTCATCCAAAATATAATTCTCCACTTCTCTGTGTGTATAGCCATGTAATTCTTATACATTTTCCAATTTACACCCAAAAACCCTAATAATTTCATTCAATTAGGGTTTATTTTTCCTTGAATTTTTCTGTACAGAAAACGACAGAGAAAGTTCTTTAATATACTCTATATACATTCATATATACATACAAATTGTGGAAAAAAAAAATCTGGGTTATGGTTGATTGTGTGTAAAAGGGTATTTGATATTGAGGTTGAATGGTTATTGTTGTTGTTGATGATGATGATGGGTCGAGAGGGAGGTGGGCATGTGGTGCCGGTGGATCCAGGTACGGTGGTGGGTGGGTTGAAGAAGAAGGGAGCGGGTGCAAGGAGTTGGCTTTTGATGGATGCTTCAGGATTGGAAACTGTTCTAGATGTTGATAAGTATGAGATCATGCATCGCGTGCAAATTCACGCTCGTGATCTTCGGATTATTGATCCACTCCTTTCTTATCCTTCTGCCATTCTTGGCCGTGAAAGAGCTATTGTTCTTAATTTAGAGGTGATTGTTTTTTTTTTCTTTCTTATACAGAATCTCCAATTATTGAGTAATGAGTCGAAATTGAGAAAAATGAAAATTGAGGTTTCTTTTTCTTATATAGAGTACCCAATTAGTGAGTATTGGAATGAAATGGATTGAAATTGAGCAAAATGAAGATTGAAAATTCATGATTGATTTTTTTTTCTTATACAGAATAGCCAATTATTCTGTGTTGGAGTGAAATGGGTAGAAATTGAGCAAAATGAAATTTGAGAATTCATAAAGTTGTCCGCAATTTTGTCCAATTTGTCACTGAGACCTAGTTGTTGGGAATGTGCACTCTGTGTTTGGAGATTATTACGTTAAATGTAGTGGTGATTGATTTTTTTTGTTATACAGAATCCTGGATTATTGAGTATTGGATTAAAATAGGAAAGTGAAAATCGAGAATACATAAAAGGCTAAAGCCGTCCTCAATATTGTCCGATTTGCCTTTTTAGACGTAGTTGTTGGTAATGTGCACTCTGCATTTGGAGATGATATGCTGATTTTCATGATATTTTTTTTCTGTAAATAGCTATAGCTGCTCTGTAAATTGAGCAAAATGAAAATTGAGAACTCATAAAGCCGTCAATTTTGTCCTATTTGTCATTGAGACAGAGTTGTTGGGAATATGCACTCTGTGTTTGGCGATGATATGCTAATTGTTCTTTCTGTAAATACCTATACCTGTTTTTCACATTTTGCTTTTTTGCTTGACAGTTTATATCCTACTTTCATTTTCCATTTTCCATTTTCAAGTGCTTTGTTTACTAACCATTGCAAATTTTTTCTATGTGATTAAGGGCAGCATATCAAGGCTATTATTACATCTGAAGAGGTAATTATGTTTTTTTTTTCACAGAAGCTTCTTGTTTTCTGAACTTTTGATCTTGCAAAGTTATTTGAATTTTTGTTAACTGTATGTATGTGTGTAGTCTATGGAACTACATTTTTTGTACTTTTGAAGTCAGGATGCAGTCAGCCATGTTCTTACCAATCTTGTGGTTTAACTGCTTTAGTATACTGTTACTTTTGTTTAATGATAGGCATGCCAACAGTTTCACTTTATTATGGCGGGTAACATTTGTGTTGTGTTGCTTATGATTTCACTTTCATCAGTTGAAATTAGGAGTTAAGACTACAATTGCAGTACAAAGATTGGATATGACAATTTTTCTATAATCTTTTATTGTCAGGGCTTGGTTCTATTTTTCTGTGAAGTCAAAAAATGCTACCTTTTCCTTTCTCCTCTGAGAGGATGTTCAATAATACTAGGACATGTACTTATAAAAAAATACGAGGACATGTAACTGAATTATGTTTGTGCTATCATTTAGAAAGGATAGCATAATAGCAGGATTCTTTACACGCATTTTATAGAAGTTGTAACAAGAGTGAGCTTCTGAAATATGTTAGTAGGTGTTTTTGTATGACATAACAAAATCTTTCACTGAGAAAATCACCTTGACTGGTCTTAACTTCTAAATCTCGATAATACCATCTAGACCACATGTTCTCTTACCCTCATGCTTGTTATGGCCTTTACTTCTTTATACCTAATTCTACTAGTGTAACAACTTAGTCTCTTGCTGACACATAATATCAACTCTCCTCCTATTTAAGGCAAAAACAAATTCTTTTTACTTTCCTATCAACGAGCCTATGTTCAAACTATCTATTCGAATACAACTCTCTTGGGGTAGTATCCATTATCTCATACATCTAATAAGATGTGGGAACCCTTTTATCTTGCATCACACCCAAGCATGATTTTGTGGGACGACTTCATCCGCTCTCTTCCATGGTGCGGGAACCTTACCTTGCTTATACTTTGTAATTCCAGAATGATGTTATGGAACCCGTTGCTCATCTAACACTAAACCTGGACGCCGATATTGCAGTGTACCTAGTTACATCTCATTTAGTTCAGAATTCATAAGATTCATCACAGTTAGGAGTTCTTTTTTCTAGCCAGTAACACGCGTCAACCCTCATCGTTTACACGGATTTTAGGATGGGATATGTTATGCTTTTGGAAGCTTACTCAGATGGAGTTCAGATAATTCATCATAAGTAGACTATTTATTTTTGTACTAGATGGCATCTTGCTGCAGCCTTCCTTCTTTACATGGGTTTGGGAAGATATATGCTGTGCAAACCTCAGATAGGCTGTTGGAATTTTGTTTTGTAACTAAAGTATTTGTGGGTTCTCCTACTTGGAAAGTGGTCAAAGTCTGGAATTGATTAAAATGTTCATTTGACCTCAAATTTAGACCACCCATCCCTGTTGTTTCTTTCCAAGTGCCCTCCTTTTCCATTCCCAGAATTTGGTCATGTACATGTTATGTTGGTCAAGTCCACCATAGGCCAGTAGAATTATTAGTCCTTTTACATTTTTTCCCACCATATACCATCCTAGATTTTTTATCTCATGTTTCACTTAACCCTAAAAAGTATGACAACTTAGCTTCCCTTTATAAGATAGTAAAGTACGTTTTCCAACATCTAATTAGATAAGTACAGATGGAAGATTGTCCCAGCCTGCATTTGGTGGACTATTTGGCTGGAAAGGAATCAGAGATGTTTTGAGAACAAGAGCTGCTCTATGGAGAAGATGAAGTTGAAGTGTTTAGCTCTTTTCTATTTTTGGTGTAAACATGAATATTCTCATGAAGATGAGGATATCCCTAGTATCTTAGAGTTCTTAATGAGTTCATAGGAAAACAGCAACACTTTTGTATTTCTAATTGTAAGTATCACTGGAATACGTCCTGAGTATTCCTG